CCCGCCTATGGAATTTCGATAATATTTCATTAAGATGAAAAGAAAAATCTTCAAACATGCACAAATATACAGATTTTTTAGATTTATGCAATTTTTCATGAAATTGGATAAAATATGCAAAAAATGCATAGATATGCACTTGGCATATTTTCCGCCCTCTAGTAATAATCAAGTATGGTTGCAGTTTAAAGGAACTCAAATTTGTGTCATATATCAAAAATGACAGCTATTTTGGAGAAATATCTTATGCCATTTTGTTTGGAATTCAATTTCCTACAAGTTTCTTTTTAATGTTTTCCTGACAAATTAATATCAACGGAACTAGGAGCGATTCAAAAATTTAGCATAAATGAGTTTTTGACCTTGTTCGTAACTGCTCTAGCTCTAGTTCCGAAGATCCCTGTACTAGTCATCGAAAAAAACTCACCCTGTCTATGTTTTATTTAAAATTTGAGCTGTTTTCATTCTTCTCAGTTTATCGATGGCATTCAACTGCGGTATCGAGAAATTGAAGGGAAAATATATACCGCCACTCCGCTCATTCATCGAGCTGTCACCACTTATACGATTGAAAATCTCAAATCCAACCACCAGTATGAAATTGGAGTTTTCTTCATACCATTTCCAGGTAAGCGGGCCGCTGAAAGTGAACCCCAAGTGCTCCAATTGCATTTATTCCAGGTCAGCATACGGAATTAAGCGCTGATCACATGCTGCGATTCACCACTGCCAATTTGGTGGACAACTATGGATTCTCGATCATTCTAGATGTGGCCCAAATCAAATCCACCAGCGTCGAAATTGCTTGGACGGGGGTGCCCTACCCGGAAGACAAATACGTAAATATTTACAGGTAAAAAATAGACAAGGAAATTTAGCTTGCGGCGTTTTAACTGCTAAACGCAATCGATTTCAGAGCGATATACCAAAGCGACTCGGGTAAAGAGGATCACAGTACATTTAAAATCGCCAAACGAGACTCGCCCACCAAAACGATCGTCAGCGAATTGAAGCCGGGTACCAGATACCGAATTTGGCTGGAAGCTTACTTGACTAATGGCAAAATCAAAACTAGCAACGTGCAGGACTTCATTACCAAACCCCGTGCTGCTCCTGCTTTGGGTTCGTCTTCACAGGGTAAGCGACTTCGATTCATTGGGTCTCATGAATAAATCGTAGTAAATTCTTCAGA